GGCGCGTGGCCAACAACCTCATCCTCCATGGCAAATGCATCTACATCCTGGCGTCCTCTGCTACGCTGCTAGAGGCGCTCTAGCTAGCCCACACTACGGGCAATGAGGGCATCCAGCGACACCCTCCAATGATTACAAGTGGACTTCTTCATCGACCATGATCGTCGCCTCGTGCGTGAGTTCGTTCGCTCGTGCATGATGTGCCAGCGGAACAAAACTGAAACCCTCCACCCTACCGGTCTCCTTCAACCACTGGATGTGGCCTCGCAGGGTACGGGCGGACATCTCCCTCGACTTCATTGAGGGCCTGCCGTGGGTGCACGGCAAGAGCGTGATCCTCACGATGGTGGATTGTTTTTTGAAGTACGCTCATTTCATCGTGCTCAACCACCCCTACACCTCCTCCTCCGTCGCCAAGGCCTTCTTTGAGGCCGTCGTTCGCCTCCATGGATTCCCTAGCTCCATCGTCAGCAACCATGATCTGGTGTTCACGGGTCATGTCTGGCGTGACTTGTTCAAGCTAGCGGGCGTGAAGTTGAAGATGAGCACCGCCTTCCACCACCAAACCGATAGCCAATCCGAGGCGATGAACAAGACGATCATGAAGTACCTCCGCTGCATCACCGGTGACCGCCCGCGCGCGTGGCTCGACTGGCTTCCATGGGTGGAATATTGCTACAACAACACCTATCACTCCATGCTGCGCACGACGCCATTTCAGGTGGTTTATGGCCGGTCACCGCCGACGCTTCTTCCTTACACTACAGGCTCCGCGCGCACAGACACCGTCGACGCCCTCCTCCAAGATCATGACGCGTTCATTGCCGACGTTCGGAACCGCCTCCTTCAAGCTCAGGCGTACGCCAAGAAGCACTACGACAACCACCACCGCGAGCTAGAGTTCGCGGTCGGTGACTGGGTCTGGCTACGCATTCTCCATCGCCCAGCGTAGTCCCTGCTACCTGGTCCTCGTGGCAAGCTGAGCCCCTGGTTTGCTGGGCCATTCCAGGTTGCGGAGTGCATCGGCGAGGTGGCCTACCGCCTGCACCTTCCGGAGGGCACCCGCATCCATGACATCTTCCACGTCGGTGTTCTCAAGCCGTTCCACGGCACACCGCCTCCAGCGCTGTCGGCACTGCCTCCTCTTCACAACGACCATGTTCTACATCAGGCTGCTCACGCTCTACGCGCTCAACTGCGCCGTGGGGTGTGGCACGTCCTCATCCAGTGGGCACAGCTGCCCGAAGCCGACGCCACTTGGGAGCCCCTTCAGGAGTTCCGCTACCGCTTTCCCTCCTTTTAGCCCGAGGACGAGCTGTTCATCGAGGGAGGGAGAGATGTTATGGTGGGCAACGTCTACACAAGAAGAAGAAGTCCAGTGGCTGAGAAGTGGACCAAGCCAAGGCGCCAAAGTCGGGCCAGAGCGCGGTCACCATCGCCACGACGCGCCTAGAGCGTCAGTTGCTAGATCCTAGTGTTTAGGAGAGTATTCAGGAGTATGAGTCATTTGGTTGTTATCCCTTTGCATTAGCTGGAAGTTGTTAGGATTGGAGTATAAGTATTGAACATTTGTGCTTAATGAAGATTAGCTAGAGATTGAGATTAATCTCTCTCGCTCCCTGGCGTTCAGCTCTCCCTCGCCCTCGCATTCCAACCCTCGCACTAGGCGTCGAGCACGGCGCCGCCAGTCCGCCGCCGGGCGTTCAAGCCACAACCATCCACCTCCCATTCCTATACCCTCTACGTAATAGGCCTAGCTCCAACATAGTTCGATTAGGGATTGAGGAGTGTTGGAGGAGTTCTCACTCTAGACCTTGTAAACCTCCGGCCGCAAACAGTTGTTTACAGCATATATAGTCCTTCTTAGCTTCGAGGGTAATTTAGTTTATTTCTTTCCCTCTTAATGAAAAACATGCTACAACATGGTCGCTAAAAGATATCAACGATCGAAGCTCCTTAAAAAATTGTATATAAAGTTTTATATAGGTTGACAACATATATGATCCATTGGTATTAGTGGATTCAACAAGAAAAGTATTTTTTTTTTACCCACAAAAAAAATGCAAGTTTCATATTGATAGTATGTCAATTTATAATAGACTAGATGACTTTAAACTTCTGAACAGATGAAGTAATAATAGGTTGTTTTCTCCTGGCCTCACGACCCATTTGTGGCTACGCAACTCAAGATTATTGAAGAGAAAACAGTGCGGCACTTAGCAACCATGTTTTCGAGAAAAGGAATGAGAAATGAAACAGGAATGCGGAAAAATACTTTATAATATTTTTATAGTATAGGAACGTAAATGTTTTCAAAACGATATTCTAGTGAGGAACATTGTTATGTTTCCGGCTGGCAAGTGCTAACGTCTAGCATTCGTTGGGCCTTTCACGTCACTTCGTGAAGAAATTCAATTCCCTGTTATATCATCCCTGGTGTACATACATCTTTTTATTAAGATTCTCCCTAAGGGCTCGTTCGGTTACCTCCTTCCAGGCCCAGGATTCATTCCAGATTTGCTTCCTTATACAAATTAAGCCTACTGTTCGGCTGAATTTTTTTTAGGGACTCATTCAGGGAATGGTGACAAGGAACTATTCCTACCATGATTGCTTGTGTAATTTATATAGCCAAACCCTCACTAGGAACTATTCCTACCAAGAACAGCCCTAACCGAACGAGCCCTAAGAAATTTGTAGCCCCTCTTGTTGGTATGGAATTTTCCCTCATTGCAAAGTGTCCGCTTTGCCTGTATGCGACCTTTTAAGATGTTACTCCTACTAATAAATAACCAGCAACTTTCCTCAGCGCGAGGCGAAGCTTTGAATTATCCAATGTACAGACGACACGTTAACCACAACGAACAAGGGCTGTGTAGAGGAATCGATGACACAAGACAAACCAATCCGAAACCAATGACAATTAGATACGTGGAACTAGCTGTTCTGGAGATACTATTAAAACAACGTCATTGACATTGCCAACCCCAAGCTCTGAAAGTCTGTAAGAATATGCCAAGCCCGGCCCATCTCCTACGTCTGAAACTGCAAGGACAAAGGCACGGTCGCACGGACAGTCCATTTGATCTCCAAAGTCAAGCTTCAACCATTATTTTTTATCATATTACTCCCACGGTCACAAATAAGTGGCGTGTCTTAGAGTTACCTTGTCAGACTTTTGCAGTATGTTATTTTTGGTGTGTTGATTGTGGATTTGTGGGTGTTTGAATAATAATACAGACCGATCTGTCTCAAAATTTAGTTCTATAAAAAGTATACTTTTGCTATGTTTTATTATTATAGACATTTCATACAAAAATACTAATCAAAGTGATATTTAAATACCACGTTCGCGTCCAAAATGTCACCGACTTGTGAACAGAGTGACTAAATTGTTGGTTAGAATTTTTCAAAAAAAAATGTTGGTTAGCACTGAGTCGATCATAATGATAACAAATCATTTTCACATACCATTTTTTGAATAACCTACATATTGCAAGCCCAATTGTTAGCTAAAGATTACAAAGTTTGATTCTTGAAATGTGTGTGTTCCTTGTATAGTTAAAATGAATAATTACCAGAGAGACGACCACAAATGGTACCTACATATCAAGTAGTTCATAAATAATAAAATGTAGCTACTTCACATCCATCTTACTATATGGCTAGGAAGCAGTGGTACCTATATATCAAGTAGTTGATAAATAATAAAATGCCACTACTTCATATCCAAGTGGTTGATAAATAATAAAATGCCACTACTTCGCCTTCATCCTGTATGCCTAGGAAGCATGCTGACTCCAACACTCCTCCCTGTCGGCAACAGCGATGGTGCACCAAGCGTCAAGCGATGGTGCTGTCAGCAACAGCCGCTTCCCCGCTGCCTGCCTGCGTGCTTGCTCTCTAGTGGTCTCCCCTCTCGTAACACGAAAACGACGAGCGGAGCTTCCTTAGCGACTAATCCATCGCCCAATCCTCCATTAAATTAAATTTGATACTAATCTCATTCTCATTCTCATTCTCATTCTCATGCTCGCCGACTCCGTCCATTACTCCCTCCCCTCTCGTCGTCGTTGGCTCTAGTCGTCACTCCTGGCTGTTAGCTTAGCCACATGGCCCGCGCCTGCGCCACCGTCGTCCTCGCCCTCGCGGTCTGCTGCCTCCTCGTGGCCACCGCGCCGGCGCGCCGCCCCGTGGACCTTCCGGCATCACGGGCGGCCGATGCCGTCGTCCTCGTCGACCGCGAGGCGGCTGCCGAGCCCCTGCCCAGGCCGGTGGGGGCTGCCGCGCTTGCTGTGCCCGAGGAGGAGGGCGACGCCGCCCGCGTGGAGGCGACCAGTGCTGGCGCGTCAGCGTTAGAGGTCCGGCCCAGCTCCGAGGAGACGACGACCGCGGAGGAGGAGGGGTGGGGCTGGCCGACCGTGTCGGGGAAGTCGGAGGACGACGAGAGGCGGCCGTACGATTCCGATTCCGATTCCGACTCTGACTGCGACTCGGACTCCGACGACGAGGACGAAGGAGGCATCTTCCGGTGGCTCCGGAGGCTGGCGGATCACCTCTTCTGAACTCCGAATTATGATCGATCCTCACCTGCCGCCGGTAGACATATTCTGATGCTTCGATCCTTGTCTGGCGCAGATCATATATATGTAGCAGCAACACCTCTTTGTACAGAATTATATTGATGAAATAAATGATACACCTGTGTTGTTGTATGAACGGATCAAACATTCAAACTGCTGTAGAACCTGGTAGTAACTGTCAGCGGCCGTAGAACGTTACACACCATGCTTCCAAGAAGCAGGGCACGCCTGAAATATCTAATGACAAGCATGCTCGACAATGCAAAAGTGTGTTAAATCAAGTTGATAATAGGTTCTGCCTCTCATCCTATCCTACAGCTTTATAAAAAGTCACAGATATTACAGAGACAACATTTGATTTCAAAGAAAACGCATCTGCCAATACAGATGAGACTGCAGAAACCTGGCCAAGCAGTTCTACTTCTTCTCCTCCTCTTCCTCCTTCTCCTCCTCTTCCTCCTCCTCGATTGCATACTCGTCGTCGTCCGAGTCGTCGTTGTCCCAGCGGTCATCATCGGAGTCAATTTCGATATCATAGTCATCCTTCGTATGAGCCTGGCTGAAACCGCTCAGCTCGTTCCTCCCGTCATCCTCGTTGATGAACTCCAGTCCGTATACCGCGTCTCTGTGCTTCACGACCAGCCAGCGAAGCAGCCTGTCCTCCTTGTTCAGATAGTGGAGTTCTTGCGGGAACGAAGGTGGAACCATCATGGTCATTTGCATAAGCTGGCCCTGTAAATGGAATGGGGAAGCAATCTTTAAGACAACTACACATGAGCAGGTTCTCAAGCTATACACAAGAGCAGGTCAAAAAGAGAATTATGTGGAGATATATCACTTCTCGTCGTCCAGGCAATAGGTTCAAACAAACCTTGGCAATGGGTCAAGCTTCACAGCTAGCAGACAACTGAAAACATACATTGTGCCCCTATCAGCTGCTTTAGCCATTCTACTTCATCAGCTCTGCTGCTCAGCGGATCCTTAGAAGAGAAATTGATAAATCACGCCATGCAGGTAAAGCCACAGCAAGGGTCTAAAGTTGACCTTATAGCAGCTAAATCATTTTTTGGATAGTAAATCATCTCATCACAAAGTATTTTCATTAATTATGATGAAGTATAAGCACTAATAAATTCTATTTACATGTCAACTCTGCTTAATTTAGCACCGATGATTCTTAGAAGCATATTGGTTACCTATTTGTTTTTTGTTTTTTGTGTTTTTTTGGGGACAGTTATGCTCCTAGGCAACCCAGTTACAAATTGAGCATCCTTTGCCAAGTCCGAAAACACTCAGGCCTTACATTCTCTAAAGTTATAACAGCGTAATTTTCCTTTCTAATCTGAACTAGCTAACCAATTCCAGCCTTACTATCATATATATTGTGTTTAACAAGAATGGCTCAATCGTGGCAGTTAAGGTTACCAAGAGGGCAAGAGGACAACCGAGGATTGCATTATACAAATCTGACAGGGACCAAGAACAAAGTCAGAATACTGACACCCAAGACCCAACAATGGCTTCTTATACTGAAACTCATCACAGTTGCATACAAGCTACAAGCTTGAGTTACAGCCACAACATCTGGTGTCTAGAGGTTGATGGAGCACAGCACTTTTTTTTGTCTAATTTTAGCAAGACACTGTAAGGTAATCTCAACTACTGATCTCACGATAAATGCCTAAACTCCATGTTTCAAAACATGAAACTCTATGGCCTGTTTGCATGGCAGCGTAGAAAAGCTGCCTGCACCAGGCATCGCTCCTGCCTGGCACGCGTTCCTAGGCCAGGGCTGCATCCAAACACACCATAATAGAGCTATGGCACTGTTTGTATTAGCTTGCAGACTGTGGACCGCAGCTTGCAGGTTGCAAGCTGAAACAAACAGGTTCCAGATTGTAACAATCCACGTGCTGTTACAATCAAACAATGTGCTCCCCCTAGTATGCAGATTGTAAAAATCTGCAAGGTGCAATACACAATCCGCAAGCTAAAACAAACAGGGTTGTCAAAACTAAAATAATAGTGCTTATTACAAACAGTCAGCTGATCTTGGAATGTTGAAAGGAACCTACATACAGTATATTCTATAACCGATAAACAAAATCCCATCACAAATTGTGGAGCAGTACTTAAAACTTGACCACAATGTTGATCTGAGTTAGAAAAATGTTGTAGCAAAGCAATAGTCACTATAAAAATCTCATAGTACAAAGTGTAAAAGGATACCACAACTGAAAGAGAAGAGTGTAAAGAAAATTACCCGGCAGGACACTAGTTAAAGGTCTGTTTGGATGAGTTAGGGCTAGTTACTAGTTGGGCTAAAAATTAGCTCAAATTAGCTGAGGTTGACTAGCTAGTTGGCTAACAACTAGTCGACGACTTGGCTAGCCCACCTATTAGCCCTTTTGTTTGGATGGGCTAGAGCTAATTCTGGCTAATTTTTAGCTACCTAGCAATTAGCTCTTGTATCCAAATAGGCCCTAAATGTGACTGGTATGCAGAATGCTGTTAAAAAAAACTTTGTCAGAATTACTCTGCAGGACACTAGTTAAATGTGACTAGTATGCAGAATGCTGTTAAAAAAACTTTGTCGACAGGGAACTAACTAGTTTCCTACAATTAAAAAAAAAAACTCAGTGTCCTACAGACAAAAATCCCAAAAGCACAACTAGTACTTTGGTCGGTTTTGGCAACCTAGCAGAAAGAGAAAATTACAAGGAAAGTGCAATATCATAAACATTTGTTAAAGAAATAGATAACTAAACCGATGTACCTAACTCAAAGCAATATACAATTTTGGTATATCTGTATATGGCACTGAAGGGTAGCACTAGAGGATTGAAATTAAACTCCTCTGCTGTTTAGTTAAACCATAGTTGAAATGGTATTATTGTCCTGTGAAACAATGCTTTTGGGTACTGTTCTGAGTTTCCTATGACCTAATCTGGTGCCTGCAACAGTAATTTTGTTAGCTTCCAGTTCAAGGCTTGAAGCAGGTCCAAGTTTAGGCCTTTAGTCTGAAAAAGATCTATAGGCAGAGAAGTGTAGATCTTAATGCAAAGTAAAAACATAAACACGCTTGGAACTAATGAATTGTTTTGTCATGTTCAATATTTGCACTTTGCGCTACCGAGAAAACTTCTATCCAGGTTAGTAAAAGATTGGAATGCCGTAGCTTAATAACTTTCTTGTCAGGGGCGGATTTGGGCCTGGGGCAACTAGGGCCATGGCCCCAGGCGTGGCCCAAATTTTCCCTTATAGTATAGGTGTTTTTTTTTGGCCTGGCTCTAATCGTTGGGCCAAAATCCATCCTACCTCCAGCGCAGAAAAAAAAGAGGAGAGGCAGAGTTGGCAACTGGCGAGACTTCGTGCGGCGCCGTGGCGGACTTCCTCTCCACTCGCGACCTAGCGCCGGTTCTCCTCCGACTCGCCGTCGCAGTCTCGCCGAGCAGGGCCGAGGCCCCAGCCCCCAGCGGCCAGGCGCCCAGCGGCGCAGCCCCCAGCCCCAGGCACATCCCCTCTGCCGCCGCTCTCGCTCGCCAGTCGCCACCGCCTAAGCGCCAAACCACGCGAGCACGGCAGCGGCCGCCCGCCGGCCAGCCTTGGCCTGGCGCGGTGGCGCACTGGCCGTGGACGCCGGCCCGCAGCTCGCAGCCGCCTGTGCTGTGCTATCTTCTTTCTGACTTCTGAGCTCGGTAATTCCCAATCCCAAATTCCCAATTGTCAAATCAAATTTGCAGTCTAGAAATTCCATGAATGATAATTGATTATCTCAATTTTTGTAGTCTATAGAGTTGCACAATGAAAAGGACCATGACATTAAAATCTTTTTTTTCTCCTGCTCCTACGCCAATTATACAACCAGTGTCACAAATCCCACCTTCTGCACAAGCACAATCAGAAGTAGTAGAAGGAACACAGATTTTAGTAGAACCAGCAGCAGTAGAATGATCAATTGTATTTTATGGATTACATTGCTAATTTGTATGTATGTTCAAGTTCATATGATGCTCTTGATGAAAATATGACAGGCGAGGCTGATCCAAACCATCATTAGTTAGGTAATTCTGTAACCACTTTCATGTTTCTATCTGTTCGGGAACTATGATTATGCTGGCTGGTTTTTGAGAGAAAAACACTGTTCCCGACTGGAAATTTACGATCGTTTACGAGCAAGCGAACAGGCTGTATGTTATGAATTTAAGTATGGAATTAAGATATAATCTAAACTTATGTATTTATAAGCTAGTTTTGTTATCTATCGGTATTTTGACCCGATGCGAGCGCTATATACGCTTTGATAGCAGTCCTAGGTGTCAAAATTGAAGAGCTCCACCACTGTTTCTTGTGATACAAAGATGTGAACAATTGGTTCTACAAACAAGACTACCGAAGCATGAGTGCATGACCAAGCTAAAAAACAAAGATCTTTTCCTACATGTAATATGGCTTCAGGAACGTAATTTTATGTTTCGTTCAGGTAGTCCATAGTTTCCATACATGAGGGAAAGGGAACAAAAAGGTTGAGTCAGCATAATGTCATCTGAGCCACTCCATCAGTGCGATCATATGATTTCGGACTTGCAAACACTAGCTCCATGCAAACGAACAATCACAAGAGCACTAGCCTCTTTGCCAGAGAACAACTCCGAGGTAATGTGAAGGCCAGTGACAATGACACTAAAGAACCCTACGGCAAAACCTACTTGGGCATTTCATCGAGCACGGCGAAGGCACCATCCACCGCCAAGTCATCACAAGTTCGAAACCCCAAACTCACGGTTCCTTCAGGCATTTCCATCGAACACCTTTCATTTAAAGCATGCACCTAGCCGGGAGCACAAGCGCGCGGGACCGCTCCGCGACAGCGGCGAATCGGAGAAGAGGAGCGGCGGAGCAAAAGGAGTGCGAATCGGGCGGGCGAGCGGGCGGACCTGGTAGTGGCGGCCGTCGAGCTTCTTGATGCCATATCCGAGGTTGACCTTGCCGAAGGACTTGACGTCGGTGACGACCCCGTTGCGCTGGCAGGCGCGGCGCGCCACCCGCGTCACCAGGTCCGCTATGACCTCCCTGGTCACCGTCGGCTTCACCAGCAGCATGCAGTCGTATAGCGGCATCTCGCTTCGCTTGTCGGAAAGGGGTGGTGTTGCGTTGGGGAGGAGCCGAGGCGTTCTCCCTCCTCCCGCTCGATGCTGCCCCGCACCTCGCGCTCGCTCCGCTCAGCCGCCGCCGCCGGAAGCTTTGTGTTGTGTCTGTGTCCGACGATCCCGAACTGGTTGGGGCTGGGCTGCGGAGGCGTCGGGGAACGGACGGAGGTTGCTTGGGGGGTTTGCCTGTTGGGCCTTGTGGCGTTGATGGGCCCTACTGGGCTGGGGTGTGTGCCGGTCGACCTGAAGAACTGGGCTTTCCACGTAGGAAATCAGAGTCATAATGGACCTGGCTTGTAGATGAGGATGAGAGAAGAATTGGGATCCCGAAGAAGAATTGAGATTGTTTCTTGGGTTGTGCTACCTGGGCTGTGTGTGTCCAGTTAAGGAAAAAATCAACATTATCTCCCTCAACTTTCGCGAAAGTCCGCTTTACCTCCCTAAACTTCAAAACCGGGCAAAAGACCTCCCTCAACTTTTAAAACCGTTCATCTCACCTCACTGGCCCTGTTATAAACAGTTTTGAAGGCGGTTTTGTCTTTTTCTTTTTTATTTATTTCGATTGAATTTTTAAAAATCATAGTAAATCACAGAAAAATCATAAAATGGAAAATCCAATTTTGTTTGACTCCACATGAGTATATCTACACAGTGAACATATAATATGGTATGCTTTAGTACAAAGTTTTTATTGTAGCTTTAGATATATGCTTTTCTGTAATTAAATGGAATAATTCATAGCTGCAGTTTCTATTGTCAATTGTGGTGAAATTTTTATGGTGACCTAATTATTGTATGATTCAATTACAGTAAAAATTTCATACTTATTGGATTATGTATAATTTAGTTATAGATTTTATTTAGGTTTATGCTTGTTAAATATAAATAAATCTATAACTAAGTTATACATAATCCAATGAATATGAAATTTTTACTATAGTTCAATCATATAATAATTAGTCCACCATAAAAATTTCATCACAATTGGACCATAGAAACTGCAGCTATGAATTATTCAATTAATTACAGAAAAACATATATCTAAAGCCACAGAAAAACTTTGTATTAAAGCATACCATATTATATATTTAATGTGTAGATCTACTCATGTGGAGTCCAAAAAATTAATTTTGTATTTTATGATTTTTCTATGATTTACTATGATTTTTTAAAGATTCAGTCTAAATAAATAAAAAAGAAAAAGACAAAATTGTCTTCAAAATTGCTTATAACAGGGCCATGGAGGTAAGATTAACGGTTTTAAAAATTAAAGGAAGTGTTTTGCTCGGTTTTAGAGTTCAAGAAGAAAAAATGGATTTTCGTGAAAGTTGAAGGAGGTAATGTGGACTTTTTCCTCTAATTAACCCCAGATAAGTCCAGCCGTCCTGGTGATTGTTTATAGTTTTGTCTTCTTCTCAAATTCAAAAAAAAAACACAATAGGGCTCGTGTATGGGCACGTACATTCATCCCCGTGTAAGGCCCGTTCATTAAATTCTTGCTGAAACTTGCTAAAAAAAAACGTTAAAAATACGTTACGATCCTCGGATTTAGGTAAGTTGAAAGCCTAAAAGGATACAGCGTTCAAAGAACGATCAGCTATAGGCAGTGTTGTTTGCAACCTCTGGGCTTGCTAGCCCTTGCTGGCGTATAATCCGAGATCAATCTGGCATCAACGGATTGCTGAACGCATTAGAAAAATGGTGCGTAATAGAGGCGGACAATGTTTACACGCAGACGCAGCATCCCTCCCTCCCTGCCAAAAAAAAAGAACTTGTTTGGACTGTGGCCTCCCTCTGAGACAACTAAACTCTCAGGCCAGGCAAGCATTTCTTGTCTGGCGCTGGAAACCGAACGTCGGGGATTCGGAGCGGCAGACGAGTCTGGGCAGAGATGAACAAAACCAAACAGTGCCTGTAAACACTAAACAACGATTGTATGCGTCATCGTCCATGGATCAGCACTTCAGCAGAGGCCAGAGTGGGGGGTGAGTAAGAATGGACGGGTGACGCCGGCAAAATCGATGCCGACAAGAGCATCTCTTTCTGGCGGCCGGATGCATGCATGATTGATATCTCCGGCCGGGACGGGACCCCCACCCGCCGGAGGCCGGATCCGTGCGGTCTGGTTCCCGGACGAGTGGCGCCCGTGGTGGCCACGATCCGTCGCCGCGCCCCGGCCGCGTGTAGTGTTACGTCGCTCTGCCGCCTTGGCGCCTTGTTGTCCCCCTGCCGCGCGCCTGCTCTGGCTGTACTGACCACCAGTTAGCTAGCATCTCCGGTCAAGGCCGTTGCCGTCCGATCCTCTTGCTTGGACTCAGACGACGCGACGCTGGAATTCGCTGGAGGCGGCGACGCCGGCCGAACGATACTTGCACTAGTCCTTGCTAGTACTGTACGTGAACAAACCGTTGACACTTAAATTGGACCAAGCCAATTTAAATAGACCATGACAGCCAGTCTAGAAAAAACTTCATAAAGCGATATGATAATAGTACCACATTGGTTTTCTTACAGAATAAGACCACCCGTACCCCTTATCATGTCCGATTGAGTTTCCATCTATCCAATCGACAAAATAAATCTACTCCAACTCTTTTACTCTCTTTTTCAACCTCCATGTTGTTCATCCCTTAATCCGACGACTAAAGATGGCTCCCTAGACTTGCTGGCCGATCTAGGGCAACCCGGTGACGTTCTTGTCCTGACGGGTCCCTCTCGGGCGAGAGTTTCGATGATTCATTTACTAGTTTGCTTCGTCGCGTAAGCACATTGGTTATCCTTTGGTGGTTTGCTTGTAAACATCGTCGCTCTTCACCGCGAAAGTGCGTTGGTTACCTGCTGTGTTCTTCGGTTCGTGGCAACCCGGACGATCTAGCCCTAGCTAGTGTGTGATCCAAAATCAATCCGACGTCAACACACTTTTTGACGATTCCGCTGGAAACAACGAACTACTTCGGCTCTACTTTGTAGCCGAATCTTTTTGCCCTGGCCATATTTTTCATTGATCTATCAAATTATTTTGATAGCCACCGCATCGCGCCCTGAGGCCGATTGCACTACTTTTGTTGCTGTCACACCAGGCCTTAAGGCCGTTAATCACGTGTTGCTGGAAAGCCCAATATACAGTCGACTTAGCCGCACGAATTCTTGAGCTTGAAATTTGTTGCTACATCATCGAAGCGGAGCAACCCTCAGTTGAGTTCAAATTAAAGGAGAGCAACTACATGCCGATAATTAGGCCGGTTGCACCTTGCAAGCAGCATCATCGTTGTACATTGTTCCAGAGAAGTCGCTAGTTGCTACTTCCAATGTACTAGAGGGTGAAGACAAATCTAGTCTTGCTACGTGTGCACAAGAGGATACTCAGGGCTTATTTATTTTCTGAACACAAATGGAGGCATACCAGAGTGCACATTCAGCATACTACTATGCTAATCCCGAGATACAACTTGCAAATAAATCTTATGATTCCAATAATTATTTTACAAGTCATGTGAATTCCCATGTTGATGTTACTAGTCATAATAATAGTAGATATGTTGCATCAGCTAATTATTATGTTGATAATGGTCCTCATCATACACATCCTAGATATTATGGTCAAGAGCCGATGTCAACTATGAATTCTTCGAGTTTTAATTTTACTAACAACATACAACATGCATATTCTTATTCATCGGCTATAAGCTCACAATGCGTGGTTCCACCACAAGACATCCTGATGAAGGAGAGAATTGGCTATGATGAAGCTAATTATTCAGCCAATTACTCTCAAATTTCATATGATGCACGACATGCTAATAGATCGAAGGTTTTGCCTACAAATTCAGCATCATATGTAAATGCTAGATAATTCGGCCTCACATGTTACTAATAACTATGGCCGAATTAATAAAATTCCAGCAATGTGTTCAAGTGCTAATGCTTATAATTCGGCCTCATATGTTGCTAATAACCATGGCCGAATTCATGAAAATTCAGCAAGGCATTTATGTGTTAATTCTCATGATTTGGCTTCACGTGTTACTAGTAACCATAGCCGGATGAAAATTCAACACCATGCATAGGAGTTAATACTCACATTTCGACTCCTATTGTGTTCCCAAAGCCTGGAAGTATTAAATGAAAATTTTATTTTAGTGGAACTGTCGGGTACCATAAAAAGGGGTACCCTAAGCAAAGACCGAAAAATTGCTTAGGACTTGTAAATATCGAAGCCAAAATACAACCGCAGGTAAACCCCCATTTCTTCCGAGGCCCGGCTGGATCGCCCGGCCCACCTCGAACAACATCCAGGCACGACCGGAGCAGGCTCGGCCTAGAACCATACCACAAGGCCTCGGACGAAGTACCGATTCTCCGACTCGCCCGAGGCCCCGCGCCACGAGGCCTCGGACGAGCCACCGATTCTCCGACTCGCCCGAGGCCCCGCACCGCGAGGCCTCGGACGAGCACCCAGTTACCGACTCGCTCGAGGCCGGCTCGGCATCAACCCCGTCACCGCCACTTTGATCGACTTCTCTGACGGGACGTCACATCCAACTAAAGCGTTCAACCACTCCCACAACGTCAGCCGCACGATGACACGGTACAGCAAAGTGGCCGACGAGACGGAAGTCACATCAACACTCTGCCATCCGGGACAGGATAGGGCGGGGTTACCGTCACCGTGGTTTCGCATCGTGCTCCACGGCCGACGCCGTGCTACATTGTCTTTGCCTAACCCCTGCTCCAAGGACAGCACGGCATGGAAAGTCATGTTCGGGTCCCTGTAGCCTCAGAAACGACATGCAAGGCCAACTGCTCCCTCTGAGCCTTGGCTACCCGCTTCCGGGTTCCAGTAGTCTCGGGACTCACGCGCTGAGCCCCCCACGATGGACCAGCCTCTGCATCAACTGGGCCTCGGCTCTCTATGTTGTCAGCGCTCTGGGACCGGCACGTCGCCCGCAGTACGCGCCATGCCCTGCGTT